ATGCCTGTAGTCCCAGCTACTCGGGAGGCTGAGCCAGGAGGATTGCTTGAGCCCAAGAATTTGAGGTTGCTGTGAGTTAGGCTGATGCCACAGCACTCTAACTAGGGCAACAGAATGAGACTCTGTCTCAAAAAAAAAAAAAAAAGAAAAAGAAAAAAATGAATAACAAAAAGAAAAATCTCCAAATACTTGAAAACTAAATAGCACAGTTCTAAATGACTCATGGATAAAAGAAATCAAAAGTGAAATTAAGAAGTATTTTGAAGTGAATGAAAATGAACCATGACAAATCAGAATTTGTGGGATGCCACTTGCTTTTGGAAAACACTCCTCAAACTGTGCTTTCCTATAAACTCTACAACAGTCAACAGGGGAAACTTCTGTGACCAAATGTGGGGTTTTTCCCCACACACCAAGCAGCAGACACCAGCTGAGCATCTTCTAATTCAATTACGACACTCCAACACTATCTACCTGGAGATAGTGTCAGGTCCCACGGGTTGAGGGCTCATTTCCCAAGACTGATCTCTCCTCCCCACCAGTCGCAAGTCCAGGCCTTGGGAACTTCTGACCGACTGGCTTCAAATTGGGCTTCCCACAACCTGGGCACGGAGTTTCCATGTCCTCCCCAGGTGCACCACCTTCCAGGAACCTCCTTGTGTTCAGCTATCTGGAAGCTCTCCAAATCCTCTTGGGTTTTTATGGAGGTTTCATTACATAGGCATGATTGACAACTATGTAGAAATGTGATGGGACAAAAAGCGCATGAACTAAACCCAGCAAGGCTTGTCTTTTCAGCATTCTTTCCTCTAGGGTAGGGAGTAGGACCTTCTTTGGAATGAGGGTCTTTTGACCCACAATCAGATTAGAGTCCTGCCTTGAACAGGTGAAAGGAGGACAGGAGAAGGTCAGAAAGAAATTCTGTTTCCTGAGACCTGCTCCTGAGGCCTAAAGTACCCCAACATCATAACAAGGACTAGAGGAGTTATGAGCCAGGGACTGTGAACAAAAACATATACACACACATATATACATATATCATAACACCATACCACTAAAGCAGTACTTAGGGAGAAATATATACCACACCACTAAATACCTATATTAGAAAAGAAGAAACATCTCAAATCAGTGACCTCAGCTTCTACCTTAAGAAACTAAAACCAAAAGGAGTAAATTAAACCCAAAGTGAGTAGAAGAAATAATGAAGATCAAAGTGGAAATTAATGAAATAGAAAACAAAAAAGTGATAGAGTATCAGTAAAACAAAAATAGTTTTCCTTTGAGAAGATCAGACTGATCAGGGAAAATGCACAATCAGGAGGAAAAAAGAGGGCACAAATTACCAAAATCAGGCACGAGAGAAGTGGTGGAATCTGCAGATATAAAAAGGATAATAAGGAAATAAGATAAACAGATTTGTGCTAATAAATTCAACAACTTAGATAAAATGGAAAAATTCCTTGGAAGACAGAAACTACCAAAGGTCATTTAGGACGGAATAAACTGAATTGCCCTATACTATTTTAAAATGAATTGGTAGTTAAAAACCATCCCTCAAAGAAAACTCCAGGACAAGATGGCTTCACTGGTAAATTCTACCAAACATATAATAGAGAAGTAATGCCAATTCTATATAAACTCTTCCCAAAACATTGAAAAAACATTTTTCCCAACTCATTTTTTTTTTTGAGACAGTGTCTCACTCTGTTGCCCAGGCTGGAGTGCTGTGGCGTTAGCCTAGCTCACAGCAACCTCAAACTCCTGGGCTCAAGCAATCCTCCTGCCTCAGCCTCCCGCGTAGCTGGGACTGTAGGCACATGCTACCATGCCTGGCTAATTTTTTCTATTTTTAGTTGTCCGGCTAATTTCTTTCTATTTTTAGTAGAGATAGGGTCTTGCTCTTGCTCAGGCTGGTCTTGAACTCCTGAGCTCAAGCAATCCTCCCACCTCAGCCTCCCAGAGTGCTAGAATTACAGGCATGAGCCACCGCCCTAGCCTCCAACTCATTTTTTTTTTTTGAGACAGAGTCTCGCTCTGTCACCCTGGGTAGAGTGCACCCTGGGTAGTGGCATCATCATCACTCACTGCAACTTCAAACTCCTGGCCTGAAGCATTCTGCTTCAGCCTCCCAAGTAGCTGGAACTACAGGTGTGCGCCACCATGCCCAGCTAATTTTTATATTTTTAGTAGAGACAGGGTCTCACTCTTGCTCAGCTTGGTCTCCAACTCCTGAGCTCAAGTGATTCCTCTGCCTCAGCCTCCCAGAGTCCTAGGATTACAGGTCTGAGCCACCGTGTCCAGCCCCAATTCATTCTATAAAGCCAGCATTACCCTAATATCAAAACCAGATGAAGATATAAGGAAAGAAAACTACAGACTAGTCCTCATGAATATACATGCAAAAATTCTAAACTGCATTTTAGAAAAACAAACCCAACTATATATGAAAAGGTTAATATGTGCTTATTTCACTAAAATGTCAACAATACAGAAAATATCATGGCCAGGCGTGGTGGCTCTCACCTGTAATCCCAGCTACTCAGGAGACTGAGGCAGGAGAATTGCTTGAGGCCAGGAGTTGGAGACCAGCCTGGGCAACATAGCAAGACCTCTGTCTCTTAAAAAAAAAAAAAAAAAGGAAAAAGAAAATATTATCATGACCTTTGCACCTCCATATAAGGATAATACAGAAATGCCCGAAGTGTTCCATATCTTTAAAAGAGAAGAATATGTTATAACCAAATGGGGATTAACCCAGGAATACAGCTTTACTTATAATAGCCAAAAAAACCAATTCAGTGAGTGAATGAATAAACAATGGTATGTCCATACAATGGAATGCTATTCAGCAAGAACAAAGAATAAACTATTGATACAAGCAGCAGTATGGTGGAATCTCAAAATAATTATGCTGAGTTTAAAAAAAGCAGCAAAAAAGAGTACACACTATGATTCCATTTATGGACAGTGCAAACAAATCTATAGTCAGCAAAACTCACTCTCTGTCAGCTTTTTGACTGATCAGCAACTATCAGCTTTTTGACCAGCATTTCAGTGGTTGCTTGGGAACGTGGTGGGTAAGACAGAGGGATGGGAGTAAATTACCAATGAACATGAGGAAACTTTTGGTGGTGATGAATATATTCATTATCCTGATTGTAGTGATGGTTTCAAATTATCAAGTTGTACACTTTAAATATGTGTGTGTCAATTATATATCAATAAAAACTAGTTTTATTTATTTATTTATTTATTAGAGCCAGAGTCTCATTCTGTTGCCCAGGCTAGAGTGCAGTGACACAGTCAAAGCTCACTGCAGCCTAGAACTTCTGGGCTCAAGCCATCCTCCCACCTAAGCCTTCTGAGTAGTTGGGACTGTAGGCACACGCCACCATGCTCAGCTAAATTTAAGTTTTTTATAGAGACAGGGTCTTGCTATGTTGCTCAGGCTGGTTTCGAACTCCTGGCCTCAAGCAATCCTCCTGCCTCAACCTCCCAAAGTGCTAGAATTATAGGCATTAGACACCATACCCAGCCAAAAACTATTTTAAAAAAATAACTGGTACACGGGCACACAGAGTGATATAATGAACATTGGAGACTCAAAATGGGGAGGGCGAGAGGGGGTGAGGGATGAAAAATTACCTGTGAGGTACAATGGACACTATTTGGTTGATGGGCACACTAAAAGCCAAGACTTACCTACTATATGATATATACATATAACAGAATTCAACTTGTACCCCATAAATCTATTAAAATAAAAAATAGTAATAATTGACAGCATGAAAAATAGAGCAAAATAGAAAATAATCATATTATAATTAGAAGATTAAAAAGCACTTCAATGTTTATAAGCAGCACAATTCACAATCACAAAGCTGTGGAAACAGCCCAAGTGCCCATCAATTCATGAGTGGATTAATAAAATGTGGTATATGTATACCATGGAATACTACTCAGCTTTAAGAAACAATGGTGATATAGCACCTCTTGTATATTCCTGGATAGAGCTGGAACCCATTCTACTAAGTGAAGTATCTCAAGAATGGAAAAACCAGCACCACATGTACTCACCAGCAAATTGGTATTAATGGATCAACACCTAAGTGGATATACAGGAGTAACATTTATCGGAGGGTGGGGTGGGGAGGAGGGGATGGGTGTATACAACCACAACGAGTAAGATGTGCAACATTTGGGGGGTGGACATGCTTGAAGCTCCTACTTGAGGGGGGAGGGGGCATGGCCAATATATGTAACCTTAACACATGTACCCCCATAATACACTAAAATAAAAAAAAAGGAAAAAAATAAAACCTACACAAGTGATTAAAAAAAAAAAACAAGGCCGGGCGCGGTGGCTCACGCTTGTAATCCTAGGACTCTGGGAGGCCGAGGCGGGCGGATTGCTCAAGGTCAGGAGTTCAAAACCAGCCTGAGCGAGACCCCGTCTCTACTATAAAAAATAGAAAGAAATGAATTGGCCAACTAATATATATATATAAAAATTAGCCGGGCATGGTGGCACGTGCCTGTAGTCCCAGCTACTCGGGAGGCTGAGGCAGTAGGACTGCTTAAGCCCAGGAGTTTGAGGTTGCTGTGAGCTAGGCTGACACCACGGCACTCACTCAAGCCTGAGCAACAAAGCGAGACTGTCTCAAAAAAAAAAAAAAACAAAAACAAAATAAATAAAGTGCATACACTGTAAAAAAAAAATAAATCAGATAGGCAATTCTTAAAAAAAATAAAAATAAATAAATAAAAAGCACTGTATAAAATATATGTATACTATTATTATAACAATAAAAATACCAAAAATAATATTATTGTTATGGAGCACTTTTGTGTGTGGAGGGTAATGGATGTTCTTCTCCATTTTCCATATTTTCTTTAATGTTTTTCTAACCTTTGTAATTAAGATTATCTACAGGAAAATTACAAATATTAAAAGACGTGCTCTCATAGTAATTCTTTTACTGAACTTGTTTTTACAGGGAATCACTTTAAAAATGAATGAGCTAAATCACTGTATCGTTGCAAGAATTATGCATGGGGGCATGATTCACAGGCAAGGTAAGTTTCATATATATGTCTTTCTTTGCCTTCCTTAACTTTTTCTCCTATAGCCTAGTGAAGAAAGTGTTTTCTATGATCCATATAAAAGATAGGTTTGTTATCTTTAATTTCAATCACTGTTGGCCTCCATTGGTTCTTGTTCATCTGCACATGCTCTAGCATATAGATAATGAAGGGAGGGTATATTAGAGTTCTATTGGCTGGAACATCTCTGGATCACTGTTAGATTGTGACTTATTAGAGACCATGGGAGATAAAGCAAAGTATCGCATCAGGTGGCAGGATATAGAGGAGACATCTATTCTGGAATATTTGAGAGATATATATATAGAGAGATAGATATAAAGTTAAATAACAGTTTAAGAATTGCTTTCTCATTCAGGAATAAGATATGCTATTTATAAATTAGGACATCACAGAGTTAGATGACTAATAATACAAAAAGTAAATGGTAAGATAAGAGATGTCAAATTGATGATTAAATTCTTAATACCTGCTACAGTAAGTGCTATTATTCTATGGAGGGAATTCACTAAGAACTGAAGTAGATAAAGAATGATTTTTTAAGAAATTGTAACTTCAGTTAACTCTCAAGGATGAACAGGGTTTGGACATCTAGATTTAGGGTTTTTTTTTTTTTTTTTTGAAAGAACTGAGTTATATGCACTAGTATTCAGAGAATGCTCCAAAAATGGTTCTCCTGACAGGCTCCTTTTCTTTGAAAGAGGGTTATTTTTGTACTTGACACCTCTTTCCTTATCCCCAGAGAACAAGAAGTAACACCCTAAGTATTTTAGTGCCTTATTCCCCTCTTGAGAGATGACCATTGTGTATACATGATGGTGTCTGGTATCACTGCTGCTTTCAGGGGGTTCTTTATAGGCATAGAGAGTATACAGCACTCCCACAGGAAGATGTTCAGTCTTAGATACCAGTATATATTTTTTGTTTGTTATTTTTAATAATTTGCTGTATATTCAGTAAGTCATAAGATCATTCTTTCTTTAAACTCTGTTATGTTACTGCATTTGCTAGGACCTGTAGTCTTTAATAGAAGTGGTGTAGTAGACATACTTGTTCTGTTCCTGTTTTTAAAAGGAATCTTTCCAATGTTTCCCTATTAAGAATAATGCAGATTCTTAGTACATACCTTGTATTAGGGCTAAGAAAGTTCCCTTATATTCTTAGTTGCTGAGCATTTTAATTATGATTGGGTTTTGGATTAAATCAGACACATTTTATGCATCTGCTGTGGTGATCATTAATTTTTATCATCTTTGCATTTCTCAGATAAACCCAGCTTAGTCATTGTATATTATCTGTTTTATGTACTGCTCTATTCTGTGTGCTAGTGTTTTGTTTAGGATTTTGTTATTTACATTTTTGAGTGACACTGGCCTGTAGTTAATTTCCCTTTCTTGTATTTCTCTGTCTGGTTTTAGTTTCAAAGTTACATTAGCCTCATAGAATGACTTGGAGAGCATTCCTTCTTTGATGCTTTGCAAGACTTTCTATAATATTGGAATGATTCATACCTTGAAAGTTTGAATACCTTGCGTATAAAAATATCATTAGTTTTGCTTTTTTACAACTGCTTCAATTTCTTTTACATTTATAAGGCTATCTAAGCTTTCTATTTCTTGAGTGAGTTTTGATAAATTACATTCTCCTAAAATATTATATAATATATAATATAATATATAATGTAATATAATTTTTAAATATTACAATAGAAAGCTTCTTCATAGTATTGTGTTACCTTTTTATTCTCTGCCTTCTCTATAATTATGTCCTCTGTTCATTCATAATATTGTTTATTTGTGCCTTTTCTTTTTTCTCTTGATCAACCTTGCCAGAGGTTTGTTCAAAACTGTACTTTGGGTTTTGCTCATTCTCTCCATTGTATGTTTATTTTCTATTTCATTGTTTTTTTGGTTTTTTTTTGAGACAGAGTCTCGCTTTCTTGCCTAGGCTAGAGTGAGTGCCGTGGCGTCAGCCTAGCTCACAGCAACCTCAAACTCCTGGGCTCAAGCGATCCTCCTGCCTCAGCCTCCCGAGTAGCTGGGACTACAGGCACAAGCCACCATGCCCGGCTAATTTTTATATATATATATTTAGTTGGCCAATTAATTTCTTTCTATTTATAGTAGAGACGGGGTCTCGCTCTTGCTCAGGCTGGTTTTGAACTCCTGACCTTGAGCAATCTGCCCGCCTCGGCCTCCCAAGAGCTAGGATTACAGGCGTGAGCCACCGCGCCCGGCCTTATTTCATTGTTTTATAACCTAATTTTTATTATCTCATTCTTTCTCTTGGTTTTGGCTAACTTCTTAAATTAAACACAAAGTTCGTTTATTTCCAGTCTTTCTTCTTTTCTAATATACACATTTAAGTCTAAAATCCCCCTCTAAGTACTGTTTTATCTGTATCTTACCAGTTTTGATATGAAGCATTTTTACTGTAATTCAGTTCTAAGTATTTTTATGTTTCTAACAATAATATTTTTCATTGACCTATAAGTTACTTAGAAGTGTTTGTTACATTCCACATTTAAAGGGGTTTTCTACATATATTTTTGTAATTTACTTGTAACTTAATTGCATGTGGTCAGAGAATGTGGGCTGTATGACACCATTTCTTTGAGGTTTGTTGAGACTTGCTTTATTGGCATAGCACTTTAATCATTTTTGTAAATGGCCCATGTGTACTTGAGAAGAATTTTTATTCTTTGTCTCATGTAGAGTTTTCTAGATGATGATTGGCTTGGAGTTGTTATTTTGCACAAATCTTCTATATCTTGACTAATTTTTTGTCCATTTAACCTATCGATAATTGTTAAAATATCCCATTATTAAGGTAGAATTTTTCAATTTCTACTAGTAGATCTCTCCATTTTGTCTTATATATTTGAAGCTGTTTTATTAGTTACATATAAGTACCTAGTGACCATTTCTAGTCTTAATATTTACTAGTTAAAAATCTATTTTACCTAGCATTAATATAATTATTCCAGCTTTATTTTAGTGTTTGCTAACATGTCTTTTTCTATCCTTTTATTTCCAGTTATTCTGTGCTTGTAAGCTTTAGTATGTCTCTTTTGAACATTTCCAAAGCTGAGTGTTTCATTTTTTAATGCACACTGATGATCTCTATCTTTTAATGGATCGATCCATTAATATTTATTGTGATGATTTCTACCATCTGGCTTTTTAATTTATTTTTATTCCATTTTTAAATTGATCTTCTTATTCTTATTTCTGTTCCATTTTTCCCCCACTAGTAGTTTAGAATTTTGGCACCTTATTTCTGTCCTTTTAGTGGTTTCCTTGAAATTTTATTACTTATATTTAACTTTGAATATACTAAAGTTACAGTATCTTAATCCCACTCCCAGATAATACAAAGACATTGAAACACTAAATTTGATCACACTCCTTCTGATTTATATGCTCTTCCTTTTCCCAGTGTTCTAGTTCTGTCCTATTTTAAATTCACAAATTTGAAATTAGTTTTAAAATATATGGTCATTTCTGTTTGATTTGTATAAATTTTTATGATTTCATTTGCTCACCATTCCTTCTTGCATCTCAGACCATCCTTTGGGGAGCATTATTTGATATTGAGAAGGCTAATATCACTACAATTTCCCTTGCTGTGTAGGTGATTTGTCTTTTCTGGGTGTTTTAAGATCTTTGTCTTTGATGTTCTACAGTTTCACTATCTCTCAGCATGGACTTCTTTTTATTTATCCTATTCTTTCTGAATCTGTGCAATCATGTTTTCATCAGTTCAAGAAAATTTGCCACCATTATTCTTTCAAACATTGCCTCTTCTTCATCTCTCTGTTCTCTTTCTGAACTCCAGTTAAATGTATTAGACATTTCTCCCATATATCTTAATATCTTTTTCATATATTCTTTTTATTTTTTGTTCCTTTTTTCCTTATTTCTCTGCAATATGTTCTACATAATTTTTTGGTTATATCTTCCAGTTCACTGAAACTCTCTTCAACCATATTTGAACTCCTGTTTAACTAATCCATTCATTAGCTTATATCACCAGTTATATAAATATTTTTATAAGTATTACTCATTTGTTTTTATTTTTATTTTCAGACTCTCTACTCACACCTGACAGTCTTTTGTTGCATGCTTATCCTTGCAATTGAGTCCTTTATTTTTTTCTAACATTTAACACGTAGCTATTTTATATTGTATATCTAACCATTCCAGTATTTAACATCCTTAAGGATCTAAATTTGCATGTGCTGTTTCTGGTGACTCTAACATATATTAGCTTGCCTTAATGTTTGGTGATCTTTGATTGTGAACTCTTTGCTTATTCTAATCAGGGGAAGTCCTGTGGGCCTAAACTGAGAATGCTTGCCTCTAGAAAGGGTTTGTTGTTCTTTGTTTTACCAGTTGCCATGAGGTGCCCACTGATCTAGGTCTTGGCTCCCTACAGGGTCCTAGGCTCAGCTTTCTAGCTTGCCATTGACCCAGTGCACAGACTCCAGCTAACAGGCATTGCTACTCTGGCATTCACCCTTCCCACTAGTTCACCTCATCCTTAGTTTGCCACTACACTGGATCCAGCTCACAGGGTCTTTTTGTATTGAGGGGAAAATGGGGCTGAAAGTGGGAAGGGTTCTTTAGAGATTTGTACTCCTTTTGCGAGACCACTAATGCTTGAAGAGATGTTCCCTAGGCAGGATATAATTGTGAGAAAGGCTCTGAGTGCCTAATCAGTCATGGTGGAAGCAAAAGTCCCTCAATTTTTATTTCATTTTTATTATGTTAATTATAAACATTATGATTATAATAAGCAAATAATTATAATTATTAACATTTAGGCCAGGCAGGATGGCTCACACCTGTAATCCTAGCACTCTGGGAGGCCAAGGTGGGAGGATCGCTCAAGGTCAGGAGTTCGAGACCAGCCTGAGCAAGATCGAGACCCCCATCTCTACTAAAAATAGAAAGAGATTAATTGGCCAACTAAAAATATATAGAAAAAATTAGCCAGGCATGATGGCTCATACCTGTAGTCCCAGCTACTCGGGAGGCTGAGGCAGAAGGATCGCTTGAGCCCAGGAGTTTGAGGTTGCTGTGAGCTAGGCAGACGCCATGGCACTCTAGCCTGGGCAACAGAGTGAGACTCTGTCTCAAAAAAAAAAACAAAAAACAAAAAAAACATTTAATTATGTTTTATTATGTTAATTTTTTTGCAGGGAGGGGTGGCGTAGAGGACGATTATGTCAATTTTTAAACATTCATAGAAAAAATAGTGCAGTGAATTCAAGTAAAGTAAAGAGCATAGTGCAGTGATCGCCCATGTACCCATAACCCACTGATAATTATCCTTACTCATGGCCACACCAGTTTGTTCTCAATTTGCCCTACTGCCCACCTCCCTGGATTATTCTGACACAAACCTCAGGCATTTTATCATTTTATTTATATATACCTCAGTATGTACCTCTAAAAGATATCGTGAGTTTTTTGTAATGAAGCCAGGCCAGTATGTAAACATGTGCACAATTTATAAATAAAGAAGCAAAATTGTAAATAACATTCTAAACATTGGTTCTTGGTCACTTTTTCCAGTTGAAGTATTATGGGATGCTAAAATGCCTACCAAATTATATAAAAAGATTAAATTATGTTTAATATAAGTTCAGCATTATGTAGATATCATATTACAATTCTTGGAAAACTGACAAACTTTATATCATATTTGGTAAATAATAATAGCAGCAAACAATGACATGGTGCTTAGCATGTGCCAAGAACACGTGTGCCTTCTACATGTACTAAATTCATTTAGTCCTCAAAATAATCCTATGAGATGGGTACTATTTTCATCTCCATTTTACAAATGTGAAAACTGAGGCATGGAGAATTTCAGTGACTTACCCAAGATCTTAAAGCTAGTAAGTGAGGAAGCTAGGATTTGAACCCAGACAGTCTAGACTGAATCCAGAAGCCATACTTTTAAACCACTGTCCATACCACCTCTCTCAGAAAAATAAACATGGCCATCCATCAAAACTGTGCCTTCCATAAATAGATATATCTGTTTTGGTGAATTTACTATATGAGTTATTTAATAAATAATTCTGCTGCAGCCAAACTTGCACCTGTTTCTGAAATATTGGCCTTCAATATTCAACTTAATTTTTAAAAATTACATTGCTGCCTCTGCATTTTTTACTATAAAAACACATATTGTTTCATGTTTATAAATTTGTGTAATTTCTCAGGTACCCTTCATGTTGGCGATGAAATTCGAGAAATCAATGGCATCAGTGTGGCTAACCAAACAGTGGAACAGCTACAAAAAATGCTTGTAAGTAAATGAAAGTTTTTCTTTTTCTAAAATTGACTTTTAGTTTGTTAGCTTGTTTTTAACACGCAAAGGAGGGGCATTCTTTTGTAATCAGAGTATTTCTCATACCCGTAATTTGTGTGGACTTTAACTTATACAGCATTCATAAAACTGACAAGTAGGAAAATGTTTATATGGAATAGAGTTTAGAAACATTTTGCCTGTCTTTAGCAGTATGGGCTCTAACACCCTCCTTCCATTCTTTACCTCCTATTTCTTACCGAGCAGATGGTTAAAGAAAACCTTCTCAGTATGTGTACATGGGAACTGGTTTCTCACTGACCTCAACTCTCCTGACATCAGCAATGTCAGAAACCTCTTTCCTGTTTAGCTGAGTCATAGCCAGCTGTAGTGGATTTCTCTACAGCACAGAGGGGAAGAAAGTTACCATAAACCAGGCCATTTTTGACCATACATATCTAACATCTGTGTTAGATATTAGATTAGATATTAGATATTAGATTAAACCCAAATTAGGCTTTCAGCTTTTTAAAAAAAGCAAAATGATGGACCTTTGCCTATGTTCATTGGCATAGCGAGCAGAAGAAGTGAAGTGTTTTAGAACTCTGGTCCCTCACCCCACTACAGTGTAGCAGCCCTTGTATTATGAATGCCTATTAAGTATGCAGTAAGCACCACAGACTCACTACAATAAAAATAAAGCCAAAATTAATAAGTAAAACGCAATTTTATGGAATGTGCCATCATAATATAGCATACTAAATATAATTTTTATGTAATTACTTAGTCTATTGTCTAGTTCAATTTATATCCACTTTTGAAAGGCATGTCACATAGAGAGTTCTGTATTCATGTCTATAAAAAGGTAGCATCGGAGGTCCATGAGACCACTGCTTTATCAACAGGGCAATTTAGCTTTGACTTTGCTGGGCTTTTCCCAGCAAATTCCTCTACTGTGAACCTAGACTGTTCACTTCCTTGCTGTATAACTAAGTTTCATTTTAGGGCTGTGTACTCTCAGATGTCTTGCACTAACTACCCCCACATTTTGAGTGGTTCCTTACATGGTTTTAAGTGCAACATCGGTTTGTAAGAGAAATCTCCTTTTTTTTTCCTCCAGAGGGAAATGCGGGGGAGTATTACCTTCAAGATCGTGCCAAGTTACCGCACTCAGTCTTCGTCCTGTGAGGTAATGAGGCTAACAAACCACCCCCATCTCCTCTGAGTTCTTAACTAACTGTCTGCTGATGGCTGAATGTTTTGCTTTCTGGGAAATTGTTTCTGCCTGTGCTGTTAGATCACTGCACACCAATTTTACAACAAAGATAACGGAACAGAGTAGGTCCCATCCACCTACTCAGCCCTGCTTCCCTGTGGATCTCCTTAGCATTTGAGCTTTTTGCAGGCTGAAATCTAAGCAAAATATAGAGAAGCTACAAATAATGATATAAGGCTTAATTTAAAAAAAAAAAGAGTCTCTGAGGGGAAAATAATAAAGATCATAATTGCAATAATATTTCCAGGAAGTACATTCACTTCTCTTATTAAGAAATCACACAGATAGTTCTTCCTTCCAAGAATCTCAGAAGTGATCTATTCCTATTGAGGTAGAGTTCGTTCAAGTAATTGTGACAGGTCTCTAGATGGATATTAAGTCTATGATGAATTGATAATGGACTTTACTAGAGGGATATAGGCTTTTGCAACCTTTGGTAAAATTGTTTAAATTTGGAAATATTATATGACTTATAAACAAGTAAGTTTTCTAGAGTAATATAGCCCCAATAGTTGTATAAAATAGTTTTATCCTATAGAAATTGTAGTTCTTCCAACCTATATTATTCAGTTTTATGTTGCTTATTAAATGAGATTCAAAAATCTATTATTTTATATTAGAAATATAAACCAGCATAAATGGCATCATTATTTGATCATTGCATATTCAGCTTGAGTATTACTTATTAAAACTTGTTCTTTCATGTGTATCTTCAAAGTACATGTACATCAATATGAAGTACACATTTCCTAAAGTTAATTTTTAAGACTGATGGGTAACTTATTGGATTTGTACTTAGGAGAGTTTGAGGGAGAAATTATAATACTTCTTCCAGTCTCCAGTGATGCTGTAAATTTCACAAGAAAAATCAGAGGCTTCGTATTTTTTTCGAAACCTACTCAAGATATGTGTAAGAATTTGTAGTCTTGTCAAGTATATTTTTAGTGAGCTGTGACAATCAGGATGTCTGTTATATTGGGCCTTGAGCTCCTCTTGGTGGCTTCTTATGGAACTTCAATTAATAGTATATTTCAAAAGAAAATGCAGAACTGCTTCTGCTCCAGAATTCAGATAATTGAAATTTGTTACCTAGAGCACAAACCCTGCTGGGAAAGAGGGAATGTCACATGTACATTTTATGTAAATAATTTTAATATTCTAAAAATCATAGGTATTCCTTATATCATTTCTTATCTGTTGAAGAAATTTAGTCAATACAATTGATTTTTGTCTTTTTGGCTAACTAACCAGAAGATATTGTTAGTTATTGATATAAGTATCTCTTTTGTTTTCTAAGTGGCTGAATTAGTTTTGGGATAGAACCAGTATTATACATATGAATTCTATGCTCTCAAGTAAGAAGACCCCCCTCTTCACCTTTGAATAGTAGAAAAAATAATGATGCTCCCCTCCTAGCCCCACCTAACCTTTTTGACCCTCCTGTGCCCTGGCAGAATTCAAGCATATGGTTGGACTCTTTCCAGCCAGGACAATGCTTTCCAAAGAAAGACTCTCTGGCCACCTGCATTTGCATTCCCCAGGCCCTTGGTAAAAGAGTGGACTCCTCTACCCCTCACCATAGCCCTACTGACTTGAGTCTCCAAGGGTGGCACCTGGAAATTAATCTTGCTTACTAACATTTGAGAACACTCCTCTAAGGGATCCCATTACTTTTAAGGCTAACAAGTTTCAGAAATTTTCTTTGAGTCATCTAGAATGAACAAATGTCTTTTGAGCAGACATGCACATTTCAAAGGCTTAAAAGTACAATACTAAAGCAAAAATTGTAAAATACTTATTTTCTTCCTCTCCTTATTCTTATTGGTAAAGTTGATTTGGACACTAAGGGAAAGGAACCTGGAAAAGACTGTGAGTGTGTAGAATAGTAGAAAGAGTGCAATCCAGGAGTGTAGATATTAGGGAGAGTAGCTGTGGCCCCTGGGATCTTTGCCAGAAGTGTAATATTGGTATAGGCTCAGGATTTTTGTTTTAATCAATCTGCTAAAATGATCTTAAGAAACAAAGAATTATTCTCTAGCATATGTCTCTCTTACCCTTATTAGTAATATTTATTCTAGAAAGATTCTAAGGTGATTACAACATGCAAAGTCTTTTTCTTAGGTTCATTTCTCTTCAAATTGAGTCCTTCAGTAATTCTTGACACTGAGGGACCTAATATTAAATACTTTTCAAAGCTAATCTTTAATAAAAACTAAGCAGCTAGGATCTTTGGCACAATAATTTTATAGTAATATTTGTCATCTTATGATACTTGATAGGGTTTTAATATCAAGGCACTCTTCTGGATCTCATGAAAAGAAAGTAAAGGTTATAGAATGTTAGGAACAGGAAAGAGATGATTAATGAATGGCACAGTCATCACAGTATGTGAATCTTCAAATTGCAAAATTTTTTCATACTTCTGTGAAATCATGCAAGTAAGTCAGAATGACACCTTTACAGCTCAAACCTCAAAGGAAATGGTTTCAGACTGTGGTTATAACTGTTGATGTAAATATCTCTGTGTTTCTGTGCTGGTGTTCTGTGTTAATGAACCTTGTGTCTTATTTCAGAGAGATTCCCCCTCCACTTCCAGACAGTCCCCAGCTAATGGTCATAGCAGCACTAACAATTCTGTTTCGGTAAGAACTCTAGCTCCACACAGCCAAGTGTGACGATTTTGTTGGTGCTCACCTGCCATGAGTGTTCTAGTTACATGTGTTCAGTGGAAATACTGTCTTCTGCCGATATACAAGGCTACTACAGCTACAATGCAGTATACTCCTGGAAAATCTTTTTCAACATTTCCTTCTCATTAAAATCCCTTTAATTAGTGAAATCTGAAGAAATATAGTTCAAGACTGCTTTGGTCATTCCAAAAATATTTCTATACCACCCCACTAGTATGTATGACTTTGATTAAACCTATGCAAAAGTTGTAAATGGAAATTTGTTTAAATTTCTGAATATTTTCTTTAATTTGAGAAAGATAAAGAAATCTAAGGATTTTGCAGAGTAGACATTTGGGTATTTTCGGGCTTTGTAGTTTTCTATTCTGAGTGATATCAGCAACATGTTTTAGTTTCCGCTATCTAAGTTTACGAATTGGTGTGCCCTCTGTTATTGTGGTACGTGCACATATTTTTGTGAATTATAAGCCTTGCCTGGATATGAAAAGCAAAAGGAACTGGCTTCAAACTGCACTTAAGCCACGCTGTTATCACATCTTTAACACAAAGTACTTAATATATTTGACTTAAACTTGGAATTTTACATTTTTTCAGAACTACCCATTTTGGAATATAGAAAGAATTGTTTTTAATTTATTTAAACAAATGGAAGCACTTATAGGTGCAGGTTTGCAATATTTTGGGGTTACCAAATCTTCTCTAAGTTGCTGATACTGCTGTTCATCACGCAGTTGAAATTATTAAGAGTTCTAATAATGCAGCAGTATTCATATTCCTCTATCCTGACTTAATTTGCCCTTTAAGTATATATCAACTTTTTTATCAGGTAAAATTGTAAATAATGTAGAGATCATCTCAAAAGGAATGATATTCTATTAGTAAGAGAAATTATGGAAGAAAATTGTCTATGATTTCATTTTCAACTTTAAAATAGGCTACCAAAGGAATTCATTTGTAACAGTTAATAATTAATATTTTTAAGATGGTGAAAAGCCATATAGCCATTGAGTTTTTCAAAATCTAAATGGTTATAGTGCCTAAGTTGAAAAGGGCAATAGTTCTTTTTATTTTGGGGTGTTTTTTTTAATAGGCTATTTCACATGCAGTGGCTTTTGTGTTGAAGATGCTGAGTTGTTTCTTAAGAACACATTTTCTCTCTGCTTAAACTTACCTGCTTTCTTCAGCTTGCTGCTAAATGGCCTGGGTTTGATTTTTTGGATAACTCAACATTTCTGAGAAATGGAATAATGTATATTATCTCTTTACAACTTAAATCTAGCTCATTTTTTTTAACCATATTGTAACAGAACACACAAATTACCTTGTACTCTTGAAAAGTAAATGAAAATTTTTCTCCTGGGTTGGCTTTATTCTGCAGGACTTGCCATCAACTACCCAACCAAAAGGACGACAGGTGAATAGATATCCTCTATAGAAACTTCTCTAAACTGAGCTGCTAATAGCCAAGCCTTTATTAACCCTTTCCATCCCATAATGTCTGCATTTTGGACCATAACATTTGAGCATTGAGAGCTTGTACCATTTCATTTTAACACATTACACATGACTAATACTCTCTAAAGATTTTTTTCCTTACATCTTTGTAGCTGTGATGGTTATTGTAATTTCAACCTGATAATTTTGTGTTGATGGGTAAGAATTCAGCCTTCAGATGTCGTACGGGTGGAAAAGAATTTTAAAGGTCACAAAATTCTTAAAATTCTAAGAATAACTAAAAAGTGCATGTTGATGAACATTTTTAAGCAATCATTTTCTGAAGTTGAAAGCTTTTTCTTAAATTTTTATTTGCATGTCTATTTCTAAAAGCCATTTGCAATGAAAAATAAGAAAAAGAACATAATTATCTTGGCTTTATCTCCTGATGTGCCTGTGTTAGTTCAAATATGAAAAGTTAAGTGCTGCCTAACACTAGCAAGTAACTGTCAGATTGCCAGCACTTTAAAGATACAGATTTGAGGTACAAATGCAGAGACTTGGTAATTTTATAGGCTGGATTGCTGAAAATAAACAGAAAAATCACACAATGGTTCCAAAGCCTTCAGGTTGGTTTTACAGTGACTTAAACATTAATATTTAAATTTAATTTCAAGAGATAGAATTTTTATGAGATTTTATCCTGAAATGGAGTATTAAAAAGTAATCAGATTTAGAGTTAAAATTTGCATAAGTTACCACCTGATAGAATTCACCCAAGGTTTAGTCTTAAGACTGCATGATTGATGCAACATTGGATATACAGTATCTTATTTTAAAGCATTTAGAAATCTAGTAATTCATAAAATGTTGCTATGATAACCCCTTATGCTAATCTGTTTCTTAAGTAAATTCACATATTATAAAACTCAGAGCCTTGAACTATGCATGTCTTCAAGCTCTGTGCTGATTTCAAGTGTTACATTGGCAAAGCTAGAGTTCAAATTTATTTTTATTCTCTCAGAAGAATAAAATACACATATAACACGTAAATTCTTTTTTAAAAATAAAACTATTTTTTAAAGCTTTTTTATAAAATTGTTTGAGTTACATTTAAGTTTATCAGCAGTGTGTAGACACACTGCCAGTTGTCATGTAAAGGGATTTTACAGCAACATACCAACCCAGAGTTCTTGCTAGTTTTATATTATGTGCTCCTTTAGGGTTACAACCTAGCCTGATTGCTAGTATTTATGGCTTAAGGGCTGCCACTTGGTCATGACAACTTAGCTATAACACCAACATAACCAATGTAAGTTTAAAAAATTGTAGGCACACTTTTCTATAATTATAGACCTATTCTGTTATAATAAAGGCATAAATTAAATCCATATTTTTATCAAATAAGTATTTCAAGTGTTCCTTCCAAATAAAAACAGTAAACTTTTAAACCTGTATACATTAAAACATTGTTTCTAGTGGTAGAAGTTTTTTGTGTCATATTTCCACGCATCGTTTTCTGCTTTTACCATCTGATGTCCTGTTTGTATTGTAAGTGTTGGTGTGTGGTTATTTAATTAGAGCTGTTTTCTTTCACATCACTATGGCATCCTTTCTTACAAACTCCTGTTTTATAGATCTATGTAAGAGCACAATTTGAATATGATCCAGCCAAGGATGACCTCATCCCCTGCAAAGAAGCTGGCATTCGATTCAGAGTTGGTGACATCATCCAGATTATTAGTAAGGATGATCACAATTGGTGGCAGGGTAAACTGGAAAACTCCAAAAATGGAACTGCAGGTCTCATTCCTTCTCCTGAACTTCAGGAATGGTATGTTTTTGTTGTATTGCTTTGTTTTATAATAAAAACGAAGCCCTGCCTATCCATTTTTCAACTTTATATTATTTTATGGTACAAAACCTGTTTGATACATTCAAACAGGTTTTGCTTTAGTAGCCAAACAAAATTCAAATTAGTCATTCAAGAGTTATAAATCCTCAGCATCTAGTGAGATCCTAGTTATAGAGTCAGGGCTTCGTTTTACATAAAGGGAAGGAAGATCTGGAGAGAGGTTGAGTGACTAGCCTTGGGTCAAATCATGGTCTCACAGCAGAGCCCTGCATTTCTATATGATGTTGCAATCCTCTTAGATTTTTAAATAACGTACCTTTTCCTTGCCCCACTACATGTTTTCATGCCCATCCCACTGCATCACCAGCAAAAAACTTAGATGCCATGATTCAGTGTCACTCAGGGTATTTGAAGATAAAATGTGTTTCACCATTAGAAGAAAAGGGCAGTCAGAAGCTTCATTCTTTACCTTTCCAGGCCTTTAAAAATGCCTTTTTTGCTAGAAAGTTTAATCTCTGAAAGCAGGCTAAAATCAGGCAGAGATTTTAGACAATATTTTAACTGAGAGAAAAGAAGTCACAGATCACTAATTATTTTGATAAAAATCTATTTCTGCTATCATTGTTACAGTTTGCTTTAGTTGAACTATTAATATTTTTCATAAAATGTTGATGGTCTTACCTTTGTTAATATTAATACTTGGGCAATATACTAGAATATATCTAGTGCAAAATAGATTAACTTAAGGTCTGAGTTTTGTTTCATGTAACAAAAAATAATAACCATTAGGCATTCTGCCAGTTCCCCCACAAATACTTGAGCCCACTTAAAAGAGACCAAAGACATTGAGTCTATAGACATTTCTAACTTCTTTTTCACCCATTCTTCTCCCTAATTAGGAGGTTTCTCAGTTAATCTCTTTTGCTCGATCACCTCTTTCAGTTATCCCATGTTTCTCAAAAATATTCATAAATTTAGAATATTGGAGCTGATGAGGACTTCGTATGCCACCATTTTACACATAAGGAAACATGGGCCCAAACAGAGAAGCAGCAGCCTTTCATCTGGCATTGTCTTTCAGTCTGATATTCAAGAAGCAGTTTAAGCATAAACAGGAGGAAAGCAATTTCCAAGTCTTTTTAATGATGATGCCATTGTGCTGTTACTGTTATTTACATTTTACAAAATGTCATCTTGAATGTTGCCATGTGAGCATTTATTGAAAATAATTATGTATTATAGATTCCAGACATCTTCTCCCTAGTCAAATCATCTATATAAATCATTTTCACTCATATCTAGAACTCTGAATCCTCTGGAGGAATCCTAAGAAATGGCAGTGCAAAAAGCAAATTTATTTCCTGTTTCCTGTAATAGTAGACTAGATTATTTGGATCAATCATCCGGCTGAAAAAATGAAAAGTGCTGCAGAAAATACGTGTTTTAAAATGACCTTGAAAGCATTGAATACCTGAAAAGATATTAGGAAGCTCAGTGACCAATTTTTATATGAAAGCCTTTGATCATAGTGATAAATAGAATATTGTAGTATCAAATTGGCCCATTTTACTAGGAGGGCATTTGTTATTACTGAACGCTACTGTGCCAGAGGACCAAAGTTAAGATCTAAAGCCTGTATAAGTTGAAGAATCTGTTAGGAGACCCTCCTCATTGTTAGGAGTACAAAAGGAGAGCCCTCTAAGTTAAGAAGCCAATAAGCATGCCCTTGCTCCCCTTCAACACCAGGGGACTGTAGAGAAAGCTGCCTTGTCACCGAGCAAAGCAGAATACCAGAGGAAAGGGAGAACAAACTTCCCCTGAAGAAATTACAGCTACCAGTCCACCTTGAATGGATTTGCACATATCTTGAGGCAGCCAGGTAAACTCAAGCCATACACTTGATTTGAAGTGTCCCCTTTGTTTACTAATAATACCAGATATCTGGTATAAACTGTTAACTAAAAAAAGTTAACAAGGTTTATACTTTGGAAAAAAGAGAGCTTTATTTTTCATAAAGGGTAGCAGCCTGTTCGGTGGCCATTCCAGCAGGTTGGGAAGCAGAGCCCTGGTCAGAAGCCAGGCACATGTGCTTCAAAGAAGAGATAAAAGGGAACAGGATATTATACTGACCAGAGTCGTCAAATATACATATTCAACAAGCTATAGGAAGGGTCATGAATATTTATGAAGGGAAATCATATACATGTAATCGTGCTTTTATGCACCTATCCTGTCATATTTGGGAACTCAGTTTTAAGGTGTTTCTGGGGTCCCCTCAGCCCAGAGGGTTCCGTTCAGTTAGCAGAGGGCTTAGGGTTTCATTTTTAGTTCACAAAAAGTCTCTGAAGAACACTTTTATGCTAACCCCCATAACCTCATCCTAACCCCCTACACAAACGTTTTCCAGGGCAAAATCACCAGGCGCAGAAGGAAAACAAGTGAAACTCAACAGAAACAAACTCAAACCCACCACATATATTAGAATTAAGAGAGAAAGATTTTAAAACTGGCTCACTAGATTTTAAAAAAATAAATAATAAGTTTGTAAAATACCTTCAGGGAGCAGAAACGTTTTTAAAATGGCATAGCAGATTTGAAAAGGACCCAAATGCAGTAATAAAATTAAAATCTCAGTGGTCACACACCTATTAGAATGGCTAAAACTTTTTAAAAAGTTTCATCAGTGGGTGAATAGGTAAACAAATTCTGGTACATCCATACAATGGAATGCCACTCAACAATAAAAAGGAACAAACTATTGATATGTGCAACAGTAGAGATGAAGCTCAAAATTATCATGTTGAGTGACAGTAGCCAGGCAAAGAAGAGAACATTCTATAGGATATTATGTATATAAACTTCCAGAAAATGCAAGCTAATCCATAGTAACAGTGGTTGCCTGGGGATAGGGGCGGAGGAAGGAAGGGATTACAGAGGAGCATGAAGGAACTAGGGGACTAATGACAATAATTTTCTTGATTGTAGTGATAATTTCATGGGATATATACCTATGTCAATACTGATGAAATTGTATAACTTAAATATGTTCAGTTTATTGTCAAAAAGACTGAACTGTTACAATAAATTTGCGAAAAGTATAGAGGGGAAAAGGGATTCTAACTGGGATGGTGAGGAAGAGACCCACTGGGCAGTATGTCCCTCCACACCTGAGTAGAACTTTGGGGGCTGAGGGGAAAGATCAATTTCCCGTTGTTGGGAAACTAAACTAGTCTCTACAATGTCAGTGGACATACAATGCTGACAAGAAAGATTTGAAACAATACTATCAGCCAGACCTGAAAACTTTGTTCAAATGTATTGCTACCAAGTCACATTTTTCATACCCTCTAGATGGGAAATCAATGCTTTTGGACCCAGATGCCTTACTGTAAACACATCAATCTAGTCCTTTGACATATTTGGGTGACCTAAATCTATCATCCCTTGTCTACAAGATCCTCACCCAGGTCATCAATAAAATGTCAAACGTGTTATTTGAAATTTCCCTCCAGGTTGACCTTAACCCTAACATGGTTTCTGTACACTTACTGAGCTAAAAGAAATAACATGTATTTTCTGAGTGGCTGGTAAAAATCAGTTTCATTCCTCTATCATCACACTGCATATGACCACTCCACAGATTTTTACTGAGAACTTATTATTTTTATATTTTCAGCTTAAAAACATTTATTATAAGATACTCTGTACATTGTAACATAAGCTTCACCAGGGCACAATTTTGTCTCTTTTAACCTGTCAAAAGATTCCTCAGTTCTATGTTTCCAAAGATCCTATGCCTCATAGAAGATGTAGTTCTGACCAACAACACATATTGACTTGTACCAGAAGAATTTCCAAAGCAAAGCCATTATCAGCCTCCTCTGTATGCTACCTAGGTAATATATGGAGATTGACTTTGATGCTATCATTGAGAGTTCACAGTATTTTCCAATAAATATTATAATATAATATAATATCTTCCCCCAAACAAAAATAAATAAATAAAATCCTCAGTGAACAAGAGAGGTAAGAGACATGGAAGACAATCTCTTTAAGAAAATAGAAAATAGGCCGGGCGCAGTGGCTCACGCCTGTAATCCTAGCACTCTGGGAGGCCGAGGCGGGCGGATTGCTCGAGGTCAGGAGTTCGAAACCAGCCTGAGCAAGAGCGAGACCCCGTCTCTACTATAAATAGAAAGAAATTAATTGGCCAACTAATATATATATATATAAAAATTAGCCAGGCATGGTGGCACATGCCTGTAGTCCCAGCTACCTGGGAGGCTGAGGCAGAAGGATCGCTTGAGCCCAGGAGTTTGAGGTTGCTGTGAGCTAGGCTGACACCACGGGACTCTAGCCCGGGCAACAGAGTGAGACACTGTCTCAAAAAAAAAAGTTTTTTTAAAAGCCATTTACAAAAAGTTTGTATTAAATCAACAATCTAGGAATAAATCTAACAAAGATGTTCAAGACATTTACAGGATAAATTATTAAATTTAGCCAGTGGCATGTGCCTATAGTCCCAGCTACTAGGGTGGCTGAAGCGGGAGGATTGCTTGAGCCAGGAGTTGGAGGCCAGCCTGGACAACCTAACAAGACCTTGTCTCTAAGGAAAAAAAATAATTAATTTTTATAAATGTATTGAAACCTTTAAAAAGACATATTAGGTAACTGGAGAGACATACTATGTTCAAGAACTGGAAGACTCAATATTGTAGAGATGTCTGTTCCTCCCAGATTGACTTCCTAGATTCAATGCAATCTCAACCAAAATCCCAACAGTTTTGAAATTTACAAGCTAATGTTTTTTATTTCTTTTTTTTCTTTTTTTTTTATTTCAGCATATTATGGGGGTACAAATGTTAAGGTTACTTATATTGCCCATGTTTTTTAAAGTTTACATGAAAATGCACAAGCCAGGAATAGCCAAGGTGCTCTTGAAGAACAAGGAAGGATATGTTGCTCCACCAGATACCAAG